CAGACATATTGAAAATCTGTCCACATTTTGCTATTGGCACTTGATGTGAGCTCTCAGAATATATCCATGAATCTTTTATACAGGGTGTCATCTGACTTGGGACACCCCCATCTTTCAATTTTTAATACGGACCTGTATTTTTGTTGTAATTACATTTTATTTTATATTTCGGGTTGTTTCGGTAATATTCGATAATATTCGGGTAAATTACTCCATTTTGAATTACGGCCCTGGAAATTGGTTGACTAAGTTAAATAAAATAACAATAGCTACATTCACGTCTCCCAAAGTACCGTTTTAGTTTTATTAGTAATGAAAATTCATCCTGCATAGCCTTTTTCCAACTTGCTGAATCACTTCTAGACATCGCTTCACGGGCAAATTTTGGATCTTCAGTTCTGTAGATATTTATTTCAGCATACAACACGTAGTCCTTAAATCTATCGGGATTCTAAATTGAAATTTTAAATTCGTCGATTCGATTCGATAACAAAATGACAACAATAAGATTTTAATATAGTTATGACGTAACCTGCATTGTTATTGTACATTCTGGCCTTTATGTCGTCCTCCAGGGATAAAAAGTAAAGACATATTTACATATTTCGCTGATTTAATATTTACTCACATTTTCTATAATAATGTTATCTCTTATGGAAAAAATATTAGGTTCCATTGTTAGACCAGAACACAAATATTCACAAAGAATTCAATGCGTAGTGTTCAGTGAGACTTTCTCCGAGCCAGATATGGATCATAGTGAAAAAATTCAACGGAAGGCTCACCCCAGGGAAAGGGCTAATATTTTTTCTCTTCTAACCTTTATGTGAGTATGAGTCTATTGAAGTAATAACGATTGCTTTGTCAACACAAGAAAAAATCGTCACGAACGAGTTCCCATATTTACCAGTAGTGTAGTTAAACTTTCCATCAATCATTCAAATATAATATAAACCTGAAAACTGCAAAATCGATTCTTGGTAGACACCCAGATCGTGAAAATCAATCCTGGTATGGCTTCGATTTCAAATAATTATACATGTATTCTCTCAGGTAAGAATGATTCATATAATGGCGGCAATGTATTAATTTATTCAGAATATAAATTATCCTGAAATACAAACATATATTGAAAATAATTTCGACATCTTGAATCACAGTCTGATGTGAGCTGGAGTTATTTTCTGCCTCACGATAATGCACCTGCTCACTCATCATTGTTTGTTCATAATTCTTTGGGCAAAAACAACACCGTAACCATGCCTCAGCCACCGTATTCACCAGATTTGCCCCCCTGCGATTTTTTGCTGTTCTCAAGATTGAAGTAACCCATGGAAGGGCGGCGTTTTACGACGACTGAGGAGATGAAAACCAAATCGCTGAGAATACTCAAGGACTTGCCAAAAATTGCATATCAGAACTGCTTTGAGGATTGGAAAAATTGCCTGCACAAGTGTATTATATCTGAGGGAGGTTACTTTGAAGGGAGCAGAATAGAAAATGAAATTCACCTCATTTTTTGAACAGACAACGTATATGAGTGTTCTGTGAGTGTTATTTTCAATGTTGGGGTATATGTGGTTAATGGCCTGTTTTTTCTTCAAGGATGTGTCAAGGATTGTTTCATCGAAATCAATGCCTTATTAAAATTCTCTGTGTACATTGAGATAGACTCGAAGTAACCGGTATAGTGCATAGTTAAAGTTGTCGGCGTTCTCAAAAGCCAAAAAAACCAATACCAAGACATAAAGTCGCTGCCAACTAGTCCACGTGGACTGAAGAATTGGCTGTACGTATTGGATAATTTTTACTTACCTAGTTTTATGATTGGGTGAAGAGTCATAAAATTAAATGTAAAGTCATGTTATGGTGACGAATAGAATCCAAGGATGGTTATAGCCTTCGTTGTTCAGTTCAGGAACTGATTGCGATTTGAGTGTTGAAATTCGATATTGGTGCCGTGTAATTACTCAAAATTTTTGTTATCTGTTGAAAATGTGGCGTCTATGGACAAGTACTGATACTAATAACGAGTGTGATAATAACGCAGACTATTTCCTGTGTAGTGATTCCAAAACGATGGTGAACAATGCGAAAACGAGATGCCAGTGAATAAGATTCGGATGCATTTGAATATTGAAACACAGAGAGTATGTTTCAATGTTTATAAGAATCTACATCTTAAGTTTGGTTCCTAGAGAAACAAATTATTACAAGCAACAAAAACAAACTTCATGACGGCAAGACGTGATGTGATACGAGATTACCGAAACCTTTAGAAAAAACAATATACGACTGTTACAAAAGCAATGAGATTCCTACAACTGAAATCATAAGGAAGAAATTGAATACTTCCGTCCATAACGTGAGCTGCTGTGACAAAACTCTTCAGAATTGGATAAAGAAACTAGGATTTAGATTT